TGCTCCTTTCGTCTTCCAGTGCTCCTCCACTTGGTTGCGGGTCGAAAGGCCGACCTCCCAGAAGGACACCCCGCACCCGGGTGCACAGCACGCAAAGCGCTCGCAAAACACGCCCCAGACCACCGGCATCACGCAAACATGTGGACCCCCTACGTATCTGCCATCACCCGCGCGCGACACCGCACCCTCACACAAGACGCCGCTGACCAGAAACTCCTGGCCTCGCAACACTCACAGAAGGGGTCGGCGGATGTGGCGTAAGCCTGTAGAGTCATTATCATCATAATCAGCAGCATCATCATCATCAACATCATTACCATCGCCATCATCCGCAGCAGCATCAGCATCAGCATCATCCTCATCATCCTCATCATCCTCATCATCCTCATCATCATCATCAGCATCGTCATGAGCATCATCAGCATCAGCATCATCTTCTTCATCAGCAGCACCATCATCATCAACAACATCATCATTAACATCAACATCATCACCATCGTCATCATCAGCAGCAGCATCATCAGCAGCAGCATCAGCATCATCCTCATCATCAGCATCATCAGCATCATCATCAACATGATCACCATCAGCATGAGCATCAGCATTAGCATCATCATAAGCAGCATCAGCATCAGCATCAGCATCAGCATCATGAGCATCACCATCATCACCATCAGCATCATCATCATCATCCTCCTCCTCATCCTCTCCATCCTCCTGCTCCTCCTCCTCCTCGTCCTCCTCCTCGGCCTCCTGCTATTCCTTGTCCTCCGGCTCGACTCCTCCTCCTCCTCCTCCTCATTGTCTTTATCCTCATCCTCCTCCGTTCCTCCTCATCATCAACCTCAGCATCGCCATCATCGTCATCATCATCAGCATCATCAACATCGTCGTCATCAGCATCAGCATCAGCATCAGCATCATCATCATCATCATCAGAAGCATCATCATCAGCAGCATCAGCATCATCATCATCAGCATCATCATCACCATCATCATTCTCATCTCCATGTGTTTCGAACTCGGGCCCGCCACGAGGAGGAGGAGGAGGAGAAGGCGGAGGAGGAGGAAGAGGCCGCCACTAGACATCAACTCGTGCGTTGCCACCGACGATCTACGTAATCCGATTGTCGACGGCGCGCCGAAGGGGGGAATCACAAGGGGGCAGATTTTCCTCAAAGGCGGCGGGGCTACTCAGAAGCCCTCCGGCATTCTGAGAAGCCATCCGCGTCTTCAGAGGAGAATGTCACGCACGCTGCCACGCCACTGCTGAGCAAGACTGGAATGGGCGGGCGCCCCCTCGAGAGCCTGCCAGGGCTCCAGGACGACGGCCGTGCACACTCCTGGAAGTACGTAAGGTAGGCTCGCGCGGCGTCGGCGCACGCAAAAGGCTTTTGACATTGCGTCGATCGTTCCACCTTGAATCGATCACGGCCCGGATGGTTCGAGGTCGAATTCCGTCGGGTCCAACGGCGTCACCGTGTCCTTCGGTGCTTCCGCGTCGCAGGACTCATTCTCGAACGCCTTCGCCGGCGCCGACGCGCGCGCCATTGCCGCACGAACCCACCGTAACAACACCCAGTGAAGCGCCCTCTCCTCCCCTTCCCCCTCCGTCCTGCCTGGTCCTCCTCCCTCCCTCTGCGCCCTGCCCCCTCCTGCAGGGGCGTCCAAGGAGAGGGGCGTCCAAGAGGGGGGGTCCCAGATCGTGGCCAGAGGCATGTGCGCGGCCGAGGCGGGGCCAGGAACCGCCTTGAGAGAGAAGAAGAGGGGAGAGTGAAATCCGGGAGGTATCATGGCCTGGGCCGTGATGTTCCCCCTCCCCCCCCTTCAGTTGGGAAGGGCCAAACGTACAACCAGGACGCAGCGGCCGCGGTCTCGGCCACAGTGGGAGCCCAGGCGCAGCCGTCGGGCGGCCCCAGGATGGGGCCCCGAGGCGCCCCTCTCCAGGGCGCGTCGCTTCCGGGGCACGCTCGGCCTCCCCTGACATAGCCGTCCCCTCTCCTGGCCGCCCCGCCCCGTCCCTGCCTCCCGACCCTCCGCATCGCCCTCCGCCCACGGACGGCGCGCTCCGCTCCAGACGAAGAGGGCGCTGCTGCGCTGCTGCGCTGCGCGCGCGGGCGCCACGCGGGAGGGCGGGAGGCGGCCTCCAGGCCGCCGTCCACGCCCACGCACCTGGCCGGCAGCTCTGAAGGAAAGACGAAGAGGAGGAGGAGGAGGAGGAGGAGGAGGAGGAGGAGGAGTGCAGCCATCGTGCCGCCATAGAGGAGCCGAAGGAGGAGGAGGACGAGGAGGAGTCGGAGCCGAAGCGCGGAGCGCGATCGCGAGCCACTCCGCGCCCTCGAGGGCGCCCTCGGCGTGAGGTCGGGCATGTCCCTCTACAGGCGGATTTGGGGCAACATGTCAAAAATCTTCAAGAATAGTGAAAGAAAAATTCGACAAATCGTCCCCAGACTATTTGTTGGCCTTCCTTCTGGCTATGTTCAATGTCATCGGACTATTCGATCGACGAAGGGGCCGAGTGGCCCCTGTCAAAAATAATCGGCACCTCCAGCGTTCTATGTAGTCGTGAGTCGGGCCTGTCCCCCTACAGGGGGATTCTCTACGAAAAATCTAAAATACTCAGAAAAAACACCCCCCAAAATGCTCGAAAATACTCAAAAAGTAGTACCCAGACTACTTTTTGACTATTTTTGAGCAGTCCTCCTCTAGAGGGACACGCCCGACTCAACCCCGGCAACGGAGGGCCGCCCTCGAGGGCCCCGCCCTCGCGGGGACGGCCCGCCGGAGGGGCTCTCTGCAGGACGGGGCCCTCCCTGCGGGGGCGGCGCCGGCCCCCCGCAAGGCCTCGCGCCCGGGACGCCCGTGGGACCCGCAGGGTCAGCGAGGAAGCCCTCGGGCAGGGAGGAGGCAGGGCGCGGAGGGGTGCGGACAGGAACGTCGAGGAGCGAGGAGGAGGAGGAGGAGGAGGAGGAGGAGGAGGAGGGAGGAGGGAGGAGGAGGAGGAGGAGGAGGAGGAGGAGGAGGAGGAGGAGGAGGAGGAGCGAGGAGAGGAGGAGAGGAGGAGGAGCGAGGAGGAGGAGGGAGGAGGAGGAGGAGCGAGGAGGAGGAGGAGCGAGGAGGAGGAGGAGCGAGGAGAGGAGGAGGAGGTAGGACGCGCAGGGATGCGGACGAGAACATCGAGAAGGGAGGGAGCGACGACGACGACGACGACGACGACGACGACGACGACGACGAGGAGGAGGAGGAGGCAGGACGCGGAGGGATGTGGACGAGAACGCCCCCCCTAATGTCCACCTCAAACGTCCTCGTCCTCTTGCTCCCTCCTCCCCTGTCCGTTTTCCTCCTCCCTCACTTGACACATACAAATAAATCTTCGGAACTCCCCGTGGATTTCTTGGATCGGCGCTGGAGGAAGGGGGGTCCAGAGCCGATCCGAAACATCCGCGCAGAGCTCCGAAAGTTTATGTCATGTAGCTATTATTCCTCGACCCCCTCCGCCCCCCTCCCTCATAAGCCCTCCTAGTTCCACCTCGGTCGGACAATCGGGTGCCAAGGGAACTAAGTGTACAAGCCCAGGTCAACTACGTCCGAAAGCAGAGGCAGATTCTTCCAGAGCGAGACGCTGGGCTCGCAAGGTCTACAAGGTGGCCAAGGCGGGCCTGAAACCGGCTGTGACGTACGGCTTCCGCGCCTTGGGCTCGAAGCCCGAGGAGGTGCAAGCGCTACGGGCCGCTCCCAAGGATGGAATCCCAGGCGGCCGTGGTCCACGAGTCTGCACGCGGCGACCTTCGGCAGGGATCCATGGCCGGAAAGCGATGCCGCCCCGCTGGGAGCTTGGGCCGAGCAAGTGCGGCTATGACGCGACGCTGGAGAGCAGCCTGGCGGTGACCTGGCCCCTCCAGCGGGTGCGGCCCATGAGCGAGGCCTGGTGGAGCAAGCTCGCAAGGACGGCGTCGACATGCACACATGTTTACGAAAACAAACAGCAAGGGCTGATCGAGAAATCTACACTGCCCCTCAGGAGAGCTGTCCCAATCGCGCGATGCACGAACAAACGAGCACGACGAGCACACACGCACTGCGAGTCGTAGAAACACGATTGGAAAAAAAAGGCAGTCTAGCTCCGCAGTTGCAGCTAGGACCAGGCAGCGCGACCAACAAAGTATCACCAAGCCTCCGAGGAAGAGGGAAGAGACAGAGAGGGAGACAAGAAAGGGACACAAAAGAGATATTCGCGCGAGCGTACGCTCACTGGGCCTTGCCGGCCGCACTCAAAAAATGTCCCTCACAGGCAGAAGCAGCGTCGATGTGCAGATTGCCACGGCACACGTCAGGGTACGAGCCAAAGGACGCGCCAGGCGATGTACCAAGGGACGTGACATGGGACCCGCCGCGGGACGCACCGCGCCATGCGCCAGGGGACGCGCCAGGGGACGCGCCAGGGGACGCGCCAGGGGACGTGCCAGGCGGCGTGTCGCGCGACGAGCCACGGGACGTGCTGTGGGACGCGTCGGGGAACGTGCCAGGAAAAGCTCCAGGGGACCAGCAAGTCGAGCCTTCTGTTCCTCGTCTCGTTCCCTCTCGAAGTCCCCCACTTGCTCCCGTAGCAGCGCGAACCTCTTCTGAGCACCAGTACGTGCCGGAAGGGACGTGCTAGGGACGCGCCAGGGGACGCACCGCAGAACCAGGGGACGCGCCTGGGGACGTGCCAGGAAATGTGCAAAGGGCCGCGCCGGAGCACGTGCCACGGAACGTGCTAAGAGCACGAGCACGTCCAAGCTCTGGAAGCCTCGCGCCCGGCCCCCAAAGCAGCCCCCCTTTTATCGCCCTCCCCTGGGAGGGCTGATGGCCCCCCGCGATCCCTCTCTCAAATTGCACTGGGTCCACGAGCCCCTGCAGACTGCACAGTGGACCCGCGCTCCCAGGCCACGATCCCCGATACATGATGTTGGATCCGCGCTCGAAGGGCCACGATCCCTGAGACTTCACATTGGATCCGTGCTCGCAGGGCCAGGATACGCTGTAGGTGATGCCCCTGAGACGTACGTACTCCCGATGCCACGATCCCTTGTGAATTACGTCAGGTCCGCGCTCGCAGGGCCACGACCCCTGATTGAATTACATTGGAGCCGCGGCTCGCATGGCCACAATATCTGATAAATTAGGCTGGCTCCGCGCTTCCCTTGCAGATTGCACTGAATCCGCGCTCCGATTGGCCTCCTGAGAGCTTCGCACCCTGTCTGTTGTCGGGGATTCCACGCGGGGGGCGCACCATCATCGAGCGGGCACACTCAATAGATTACCATATATGCTTCCTGTAAGCAAAATCTAAGCCTCTGGACACAGCGTTTTGTTCAGAAGTCCACGCAAAAGCCTCCCGACCTCCTTGTTACGAAAGACAGCGGCAGAGCCGATGTGGGGGGCTCACTTTCCTGGCACGCCCTGGACGCAGTTTGCAGGAACAAATTGACCCGCCCCCTTCTACCGAGCGAAAATCCGCCCGGTCTCCTCGCACATGACACCGGGGGGCAAAGTTTACACACTAGGAAAGAAGGCCGAGCCGACGCTCCTTCCGAGAAAGAACTCTAGAACCGCGCCTTCGAGGCCACAATTCCTCGTAGAAAACGTGGGTTCGCGCCTTCGAGGCCACGATCCCTTGCGGCAGAACTATGAATCCGCGGCTTCCAGGCCACGATCCATCGTAGCAAAAAACATGGGTCTGAGCCACGAAGCCCAAAGAAGAACCACGCCCTGCGCGCTGGTTCTTTACGGGGGATCTGAGGCCTTCGAGGAGGCCACGATATCCCCTATAAAGAACCAGAGCCCTGCGCCTTCGGGACCTGCGCACTCCAGACCACGGTCCCGAGTGAAGAAACCATGGATCCGCGCTCCGAGCACGCCAGCCACCCAGCAAGCCTGCTAACCAACCCCTCAACCCTTCAGCGATTGAACCAGCCGTCCAGCTTGCCGTTCGCCAATCCACACAGCCAGCAAACCAGTCAGGTGGCCAGCCTGCCAACCAATCCGCCCATCAACCGACCAGCCAAATCGACCCAGCACTGCAGGCAGTCACTGGAGAGGGGCCGGCGTCAGAGGGAGAAACCCTGCGGATAGATTCCCCCTCCTTGCCCTTTTCACCCCTCCCCCTCCTCCTCCACCGCACTCTCAACACCTCACTCACCACCCACCACTCCGTCGCCCCTCTCCCATACTGCATCAGTCATCTTCTTCCCCCTCCTCCTCCTCCTCCTCCTCCTCCTCCTCCTCCTCCTCCTCCTCCTCCTCCTCCTCCTCCTCCTCCTCCTCCTCCTCCTCCTCCTCCTCCTCCTCCTCCTCCTCCTCCTCCTCCTCCTCCTCCTCCTCCTCGCTCCTCCTCCTCCTCCTCCTCCTCGCTCCTCCATCCATTCTCCTTACGGATAACTCCTCGCTGTTGCACCCCAGGCGTTTCGGTCGGACGGGCTTGGCGTTTCGCCTGCGACTTCCTCGCCACTTCTGATCCTCAAGCTTGGAATTCGCAACAGCTTCATGGATGGGCGTGGGTCGTTGTTACAATGTGGCCCTCGGCTTGGCGCAGCGCGCATTCGCCCGATGCGGTTGCAAAAGGTTCGCGGAAGGAGCGCGGATGGTTTTCAACATGTGGCTCTCGCCTTGGCGCCGCGAGCCTCCTGAGCACAGTTTGCGACACTTTCACAGATAGACGGGTGTCGTCGTCCAACTGCGGCTCTCACCTTGGCGCCTTCTGGCGTTCGTCTTCAAGTCTGCGGCAGCTTCGCGAAAGGACGGGGGTCGCTTTCAACATGTGGTTCTGTCAGCCCAGCACCGCGCATGGTCGCCCTACGAGTTCACAGCAGCCTCGCGGCGTGACGGGGATCCTTCTCAGAACGTGGCGCTCGCCTCAGCGCCGCGCGCCCTCGCTGCAGCAGTCCACAGCAGCGTCACGGACGGACGGCGGCTCCTTGTCAAAATGTGGTTCTGGCGCCACGCCCGTTCGTTTTCAAAGTGTTCAACAGAATCGTACAGGCCTCGGAAAAAAATAGCGAACACTCATGCCACATTCATCTGTGAACGCCTCCCCCTCCCCCCAATGTTCAAAGTTGGCGGTGGGTCTGATGAGTTGCACCTCGACCGAAGTCTCCCCCCCGCGTGCCAATTTTGAGTTTGGGGGGCAGGGGGGGTGTTCACTAATTGTTTACCTCTACCGTAGTGTCCAGGCGGGTGGTTTTCAGAATGTTGTCCGCGCCGCAGCGCCGCGGTTCGTCTTTGGGATGCTGCAGCAGCTTCACGGACGGAGGGGGAGATCGTGTGTTGCAAGAGGGGCTCTCGTCTCGGCGCCGCGCACATGTGTGCAAAGTGTGCAATGAGCGTCACTACTGGAAGGCGGCTCGGTCGCAAAACGTGATTATCGCCTGAGCGCCGCGCACAGTCGCCCCAAAGCTTACAACATGCTCACGGGGACAGGGGGGTTCTTCCCAGAGTGTGGATATCGCTTCCAAGAGCTGCACAGCACATTCGCCATAAAAAGCTCGCACAACCGTGCCTGATGGAAGGAGGTCCATGTTCAAAAAAGCGCGCTCGCTCGCCTCAGAGTGTTTAACCCGACGTGTCTCAGGATGTGGGACTGCCTTTTTTCCAAATGGAATTCTCGCCTGACACGTCGCTGAGTTTAATGCCCCGAAACTTCAACTCACGGATCCATGGCGGATCTCTTTCAAAACGGAACTGCCGCTTGAGCCTTCCCCGAGGTTCATGGCCGCAAGGGTAAACTCGGGCAACAGTAGCACGGATGGAGGGGGCGGTGCTTCTTCGAAAAGGGGATACGGCTGGACACCTCGTTTGTACGATCATTGTGTTTTCCTCGTTCCTGACTACGCGCCAGATCTGTCTTTTGCCCATGAAACGCCGCTCCCCTCATGCGCTACCACGTCTCAAGCGAAAGGACGCGCACTGCCACTGCGCACCGTCCCCCCCCGCGACACTGCAGAGCAAGCCCCACGCCCGCGGCCCTACGGGCAGCGCGCCGACGAGGAGGCGAGCAGCAGGAGGGAGGAGAGCAGCGGAGGACGCGGGCCAGGAAGGGAGACCAGCGCGCTGTGGGCGGGAGCCCCGTGGCCCCATCGGCCACTGATATCAAACACACAGCAGCAACCAGGAGAGGGGCACTGGAAGGGAACGAGATAGAGAGAAAGAGAGAGAGAGAGAGAAAGAACAAAAAAAAAACGCGACAGCAGGAAGAAGGCACGCTGAGAAAAAAAACTCATGCGTGCACAGACCGCAAGCCCCGAGCAACGGCGGAGCGGGTTACCCGCACAGGAAGCCCACACGAGCCGAGCGGTTAAAGAACAATGCCGCCCACCCAGGGAGGAGGCCGAGCCAAACGGGCGAGCACGAGGTGCCGAGAACGCCAACGCACCGAAAGAAGAGCACGGAGAAGGACGAGAAGAAGAACGGAAAGAGGGAGGAGGAGGAGGAGGAGGAGGAGGAGGAGGAGGAGGAGGAGGAGGAGGAGGGAGGAGGAGGAAGGGAGGAGGGAGGAGGAGGAGGGAGGAGGAGGAGGAGGAGGAGGAGGAGGAAGGAGGAAAAAAAAGGGAGGAGGAGGAGGAGGGGGGAGGAGAAGGAGGAGGAGAAGGAGGAGGAGGAGGAGGAGGAGGAGATGGAGGAGGAGGAGGAGGAGGAGGAGCAGGAGGAGAGGCGGGAAGATGCGAACGGCCTGGCAAATTCAACGAACAGTGTGGAGCCGAACAGGGAGGGCGCAGGGGCTGGGAAGCTCGGAGAGCAGGCCGCCCCTGACGCCCCCGCGGCGGTGGGCGCCGCCCCGCGAGACGGGGGGCCAGCGCCAGTGAGCACACAAAAGATTGAAGCGCCACACGCAACGCAAAGCTGTAATCAAAGGAAGGGAGGAGAGGCGGAGAGAGAAGGGAGGGAGGGAGAAGTAGAGGGAAGCAGAGAGGGGGAGGGAGGGAGGAGCAGAGAGAAAGAAAAAGGGGAGGCATGGCAGCAAGACTCTATGGCCAGCGAAGCGGCGGCCGCACCGGCAGACCTCAGAGGACGAGCCCGGAGTACATGTGCGTGAAATCCGTGTGGGTGGCAACGCCACCACCCCATAAGAAATTACCAGTCCACACATCCAAGGCAGATGCAGAATGAAAGAACCCACGATGTTCCAGTCCTTGCGAGTGGCCCGAGCACCACCCCATAAGCATCCCAGAACAGCAGTGCATCAAGACCAGGAGACTGCGCAAACGACGGACAGGGTGACGGACTCGACGTCGGACTGGGGATCGGCGCAGGCGTCGTGCTGGCGACGCAGACGGTTCACGCATGTGAACGCGATGTCCGTGAAGCGAGTGGGTGTGGCTGTCGCCGACGGCATCGAAGGCGCGCCTCTGCTACTGGATGCACTGGTGCTGCTGTGAAGGGTGCTGCTGGTTGTGCTGGTGCTGCGACTCCGCGCCGTACTCGCCGCAGTGGGACTGCTAGTAGCGCTGTTGCTATGCGCGGCGCTGCTGGTCCCAGTTGTGGTGGCCACAGTGGCGCTGCTAGTGGCACTGGTACTGCTGCGCGTGGTACTGCTGGGCCCGGTCGTGGCTCCGACCTCGAGGGCAGGAGAACCCAGGCGAGCGTAGGCCGTTGGAGGCCCTGGCAGGTGACTACGCACTAGATCAATGCAAGGCAGTTCCTTTTCAAAGTGTAGGCCAAAATGGCAGGCCCAACTGTGCTGGTCTTTTCATGGGGACGGGGGCGCTTTTTGCAATAAACAAGAAGACCAGTAGAGCCGTTCTGAACCGTTTTGAAGAGGGGACTCGGGACAGGAGGCCGTATTGCAGCATCGCTCATGCATATTGGGTTTACTCTGCTCCGCCTCCTCCTTCTGCTCCGCCTCCTCCTTCTCCTCCTCCTCCTCCTCCTCCTCCTCCTCTTCCTCCTCCTCCTCTTACAGCTGCAGCTCCCCTTCCAACTCTGACTCATCCTCAGCACCTCCTCCTCATCAGCATCATCATCATCATCAGCAGCAGCAGCATCATAATCATCATCAGCATCACCATCATCATCATCATCATCATCATCATCATCATCATCATCATCATCATCATCATCATCATCATCATCATCATCATCATAATCGTCATCATCATCATCATCATCATAATCATCATCATCATCATCATCATCATCATCATCATCATCATCATCATCATCATCATCATCATCATCATCATCATCATCGTCATCATCGTCATCATCATCATCATCGTCATCATCATCGTCATCGTCATCGTCACCGTCATCATCATCACTATCACCATCACCATCACCATCACCATCAGCAGCATCATCACCATCAACAACAACAGAACCAACAGCATCACCATCATCATCATCATCATCATCATGGTCACCGTCATCAATATCAGCATCAGCATTACCATCATACTTCTCCCCATCATAATCCTCATATGCCTCCTCTTCCTTCTCTCCCGACGCCTCCGCCTCCTCCTCCTCCGCCGTATTCTCCGTTTCCTCCCCTCTCTTCGCCGGTCATATTTCCTTCCCGTCATCCTCCTACCCCGGCACCCCCGACGGGAGCACAACCCTTTCCGCCAAATCCTCCACCCTGTCGGGACCACCCTCGCCTGGCGAGGTCGCCCAGCCAGAAGAACTGCACCTCCACCTGGCGCGGGCCGCTTAGAAGGGGGAGGATGGTGACATTGCTACTTTTCCCCCTCCTCGTCCTCCTCCTCCTCCTCCTCCTCCTCCACTTCCTCCTCCTCCTTCTCCTCCTCCTCCTCTTGCTCCTCCTCCTCCTCCTCCTCCTTCTCATCCTCACCTTATCCGTGTCTTCCTCCTCCCCCTCCTCCCCCTCCTCCCCCTCCTCCTCCTCCTCCTCCTCCTCCTCCTCCTCCTCCTCCTCCTCCTCCTCCTCCCTCCTCCTTTTCCTTTCCCTCCTCCATTTCCTCCTTTGGATTCTCAGTAGCAGTATCATCATCATTATCATGACTATTATTGTTAACATCATGAATGGTATTAGTATTGTTGGTACTATTACCCGTCTTAGTATTATTCATGTTCGTATTGTGATCCCTCTGGTGATTAATGTTGTCAGTGTTACTCTTCCTGCTTGTAAGTATTAGTGGGACTCGTGTTTGATTCGTCTTCTTGTGATTAAAGTTCTTGTTGTTGGCGTTATCATTCGTATTCGTATTCCTATTGTGCGTAATATAGTTGCTAGTATTCTGATTATAAATACTATCGTTAACGAAACTACGTATATGCTGATAATTACTGGCGCTATCAATAATGTGATTCGTAGTAGTATCAGTATTAACAACCTTGGTAGTATTGTGATTACCATGTTTGTGATTGATGTTATTATTGCTCGTATGAACATCATTAGTACGATTAGTCTTCTCATCTGTTTACTATTAGTAGAATTCGCATTATTATTGGTAGCGTAGTATCATCATTCTCAATAGTAGTACTAGTACTACTAGGTGTAGTACTGCGATTATTCGTAGTATGCTCACATCTTCTGTAATAGTAATAATAGGACTGTCATAATTTTAGTGTGTTTGAAATCATTATTGACGGCATTAGTAGTACTAGTAGTATGGTCAATACCTGCATTACTAATCGTATGCGTATTTTCACTTGTACTGATAATTATAGTAATACGATTAATAGTAGCGACACTATTACCATTCGTATTAGTATGCTTGTCTGTCTGGTTCGCTGTACTGTGCTTAGTGGTCTCCTTAGTTATAGCGGTCGCAGTATAAATGTTGTTAGTGCTGTTCTGATTCCAAACAATTACCAGTACTCGTAGCATCGGTCCCCGTATCATTAATAATATTTATCTGGTAATCATTACTGGTTTGAAACAATTGCCATAGTTACTGCTATTACGAGTAGTTTTCTGAATGTTGTTAGCCTGATGGCTCTTTCTCATCATCACATCCCCCGGTCTCCGGCTACGCCTCCTCCACACCCGTCCTCCTTGTTCCCATGTCCTCCCCCGCCTTCACGTCCTCCTCATCCTCATCATCATCCTCCTTCCCTGCTCCATCACCTCCTTCCCCTCCTCCAGCCCTCTTCCATACGAATGATTCTTCACCTTCGCACCCCGCGACTTCCTCTCCAGCGATGATCATGAAGCTTGGATGGAGAGCGGGTGGTTTTCAACATGTCGGTCTCGCCGTAGCGGCGCTCACATGCATCGTGAAAGTTCGCAATGGTTTCATGGATGGAAGGCGGGTCGTTTTCAAAATGTATTTAACACCATAGCTCCGCGCACATGTGTTTTTAAAGTTTGCAGACAGGCATCGCTCATGGAGGGCTGCCCACTTTCAAAATGATGTTCTCGTTTTAGCGCCGCGCAGATTTCCCAAAAAAAACTGCAGGCGCTGCACGGATGAAGGCGGCTCGTTTTCGAAATCTGGTTCTTGTCCCAGCGCCACGTACATGTTTTAAACAATTTGTAACAATTTCAAAGAGACTTCTGGCTGACTCCAGAACCCGTGTCTTGGCCAAATGTACGATTGACAGGGCACACCAATCACATTGAGTTGCGGTGTTGTAATATCACAAAAGGTGTCTTGACACGATTCAGGATCGCCAGGACGCAACAGCAACGTTAATTTGCGGCGCTGGAAGTCCAAGAATGGTGTGCTGGCATCGTTGGAGACGTCAGGAGCAAGGGCTGTGCTGGGTGGTGGCGGACGCACGCGGGCGGTCCCACCGGGGGCTTCGGTTGAGCTCCCTATGGGGCCACGAAACGCTGTGCTGGGTGGGCGAAACGCATGGAAGAAGGAGGAGGGAGGGGAGGAGGGAGAGGAGGAGGAGGAGAGGAGAGGAACGCGGGGCACCGTCTCTTCAAAACGAGGACCCAACACCACAGGATGGTTGGGAAATATTCAAACAAATATGCAAAAATGCTGGAAAAAAACAGTCCCCCGACTACCGTTTTACTATATCTTAATATTCCTCTTGTGGGGGGGGCACAGGGCCGACTTGATGGTAGGCTCCCCGTGTGGGTCCTCCTGGTGGTGGCTCCCCGTGTTGCGGCGCCCTTCAGCTCGAGGAATCGAGCCTCATGGGCACGCTCGCTTTGGAGGCGGCCCGCCGGCGCAGGCGACACCGTCTTCCTCTTTCTCCGACCCGAGGCCCCGACTCCCGACGAGACCGCGACGATGGAGGCCCCCAAAATGGGTCCCAGTAGAAAAGATTGGAGGATCGCGTCGCATCGCCAACGCATCGCCGCTGCATCGGCGATGCATCGGCGCCGTCAACGTGGAGAAGATCGGGCTCAACATCAGGCCGCATCGCCGATGCCTCGGCGACGCGGCGCGATCCTCCAGCCTCAACTGCCTGGGCACCACTGGTGAGCTTTTTTTTATTCGGCGTTTCGACATTGGGCGGCAAGGGGGGGGAGGGGGGTGGTCTGGCTCCAGACCTCTGCTAAGTGCGACTGCTTGTAACAGCGCGTCCTGTGGGGGAGACCCCACCTGCTCGAAACGGGTGACAAAAACAGCCAAGATCTACTCCATGGGGGGGGAGGGGGAGCGGGGGTGAGAGGGCCCGCGCCGACCAGCAGTACAACGCATAAAAAGACAATCACTTGAGGAGGCCTGGAGCCGAAAGCCCCCGAAGGGCCGCCGCCCAAGGCCCGCCTGGCTGCCGCTGCCGCTCGGAGCTCGCCGCGGCCGCGGGGCCTCCATGGCCCTGCTGGGCTGCAGCATGTGTCTGGCGGGGCCTCGGCGGGTCTTGGGCCCAGCACTGGGGCTGGGCAGACTGCGCGGGATGCTCCTCCTCCTCCTCCTCCTCTCTTCCTCCTCCTCCTCCTCCTCCTCCTCCTCCCTCCCTCCCTCCCTCCCTCCCTCCCTCCTCCCCCCTCCCTCCCTCCCTCCCTCCCCTCCCTTCCCCTCCTCCTCCTCCTCCCTCATCCTCCTCATCCTCCTCCTCCTCCTCCTCCTCCTCCTCCTCCTCCGCCTCCTCCTCCTCCTGCTCCATTCCTTTTCCTTATGAATAACTTCTCCCTGTCGAACCCCGAGGCCAGTTTTTAGGGCAGGCCGGGCGTTTCGCCTGAGACTTCCTCACCATGTATGACTCTGAAGCTTCCAACAGTGGCGACTGCTTCACAGATTGACGGCGGGTGGTTTTCAAAATGTGGCTCTCGCCTTAGCGCCGCGCACATTCGCTTCAAACATTTGCAAGAGCTTCACGGATTGAGGGCAGGTGGTTTTCGACATGTGGCTCTCGCCTCAGCGCCGCGCACATTCGTTTAAACATTTGCGAAAGTTTCACGGATTGAGGGCGGGTCGCGTTCCAAATGTTGCTCTCGCCTTAGCGCCGCGCACATTCGAATTAACAATTGCAACAGATTCACGGATTGAGGGCGGTTCCTTTTCAAAATGTGGCTCTCGCCTTAGCGCCGCGCACATTCGTGCGTAAAAGTTTGACAAGTTCTACGAACTCCCATGATCAGCGTACCAGATATGGTGTTTTAGAAGGATTATGGACTATGCGGGCGCAAGGGTTATTTCGATTCGCTGTGTTGAAATAGCAGAAATGGCTTTATCACACGATTCAGGAACGTCAAGATGCAGCGCTCAGGTTGATTATTGGCGTCGAAATCCCGCGAACTATGTTTTGGCATGCTTCACGGTCTTCCATGGTGTCTTCCAACGAGGCAGTTCACTCAATGGAGATGAACCGTTGTAAGGGGCTTATGAACAGGAAGCTTCGAGGGAGGGTTAATTCCAACATCGTTGTGAACTCTTTGGTTAACATTGGTCCCTCGACTCCTCCTCCTCCTCCTCCTCCTCCTGCTCCTCCTCCTCCTCATCCTCCTCCTCCCCCTCCTCCTCTTCCTCGTCCTCCTCCTCCTCCTCATCCTCCTCCCCCTCCTCCTGCTCCTTCCTCCTGCTTCTCTTTCTCCTCCTCCTCCTCATCATCATCATCCTTCTCCTCCTCCTCCTCCTGCTCCTCCTCCTCCTCCGCCTCCTCCTCCTCCTCTCCCTCCTCCTCCTCCTCCTCTGCTCCCTCTTCCCTCCTCTCTTCCTCCTCCTCCTCCTCCCCTCCTCCCCCTCCTCCTCCTCCTCCTCTCTCCTCCTCCTCCCCTCCTCCTACTGTCCTCCTCCTCCATCCTCCTCCTCCTCCGCCTCCTCCTCCCCTCCTCCTCCTGCTCCTCCTCCTCCTCCTCCTCTCCTCCTCCTCCTCCTCCTCCTCCTCCTCCTCCCTCCCCTCCTCCTCCTCCTCCTCCTCCTCCTCATCATCATCATCATCACCATCACCATCATCATCATCATCATCATCATCATCATCATCATCATCATCATCATCATCAGCAGCAGCAGCATCATCATCATCCTCCTCTGCCTCCTCCACCTCAGCCTCCCCCCACTCCATCATCCTCCGCCACCCCCAGTCGTCATCCCTCCTGCTATTTATCCCATCAAATTTTCCCTTATCCCAACCTTTCTGGAGAGTCTCAAGCTCTCACCGCCACCACAACATGCAATCCACCAACCCCTTTGGACCCCTCGGCGTACCAGAGACCCCGATAGCCCGAAGAAGCAAAAATCCACAGAACAAAACAAAAACAAATCGTCAAAAACGTATGGTTTCAGTAGATTCCCCCCCTTTGGTGTTATCCGCGTGCACGGTGGCCCGAGCTGTCCCCAGATCGCCCCAAGTGATCGGGGGATGCAGCGCAAACCCCAGAATTCAAGCAACGTCGTAATTGAGGAGCCCCTTCCCTTTGATCCCTTCCTTGCCAAGAGGGAGTCGCGGCGGGGTCGCACAGGGGGCGCCCGAGGGGGGGCCGGGGATCGTGACCTTCCGCCGTAATTGTTTCGACGGGAGGCCCCTTCCCTCTGATCCCTTCCCTGCCGGGGCGGGGGTCGGGGAGGGGATCCGGGGGGAGGGGGGGGGGGGGGACGGGGAAGGGGCCGCCGGGGAGGTCTCGGGGGGGCGGGGGGGGCCCGGGGGTCGCGACCTCTATCCTGGGGGGGCCCCCCCCGGTGGACAGGAGGGGCAAGGGGGCAGGGAGGTGACCCCCCTGTGGACGGGGGTGACGCAGGACTCATCCCTCGCCTCCCATCGCTTCCCCGCCTCCCCCGCCCCACCCCCTCGCCTCCCATCGTTTCCCCCCGCCTCCCCCCCTCCTCCCCCCTGCTCCCCCCATCTGAGCCCATGAGGCTCCGAACAGAGCCCCAAGAAATCTCCAGAGCCCCACGGAATCTCCGAACAGAGCGTCAACGTCGTCGTCGTCGCCGCCGCCGCCGTCATCGTCGTCCACCTTCAATGTCGGCGGAACTGGCCGTGAGGTCTTCCCCATACTCAAAACCTCATCCACGAGCTGTGCAAGAGCTTCCTCTCAACGCTGGCCCTCTTCTCCACTTGGCCCGCCCGAAGTGAGTTAGGAAACAGCAAATGCTGTCCAGAACTGGCGGCAGCCTCTGATAATTAGGTTTCAAAGGACAACGCCCGCGGTGACCCCGACAGCGAGCCCTGCTAAAAATGGACCTGAACTGCTGCCAGAGTTCGTCCCCGAGCCTTTCCGCACCCGCATCCATTCGTGCGGACCCGAGCTGGCATCAAGGACGCGGGTCCCGAGGGAAAGGGGAGCAGCACTCATCCTGAGTAGCTTTTGTCTGCTTCGTTCGGCGGCGCCCCGAGGGGGTAGTGAAAGGGGGCAGGCCCTTCTCAGGGGGCGACGGGGCTTCTCGGAAGCCCTCCCGCCTTCTGAGTGCCTCTGTGGCTTCGGACGAGCTTCGAAGGCCGGAGACCACCTGAGCCTTCTGGGAAGCCCCGCCCCCTGACACTTCCCTTTCGAGGCGCGCCGCCGACTCGTGGCGACACGCGCCCTGGCGCTGATGATGCTGGTGGTGGTGATGATGGTGATGATGATGCTGATGATAATGGTGATGGTGGCAGTGGCGAACATGGGGATGATGATAGTGATGAAGATGATGATGATGATGATGATGATGATGATGATGATGATGATGATGATGATGATGATGATGATGATGATGGTGATGATGAAGAAGATGATGATGATGATGATGATGATGGTGATGATGATGGTGCGGTTAATGATAATGATGATGCCAATGGAATGGTGGTGGTGATGATGGTGATGACGAAGATAATGACGATGACAATAATGATGATCACGATGATGATGATGATGATGATGATGATGATGATGATGATGATGACAATGGTGATGATGATGATGATGATGAGGATGATGATAATGATGATGATGATGATGATGATGGTGGTGATGAGTGTGCTGATGACAATGGTAACGATGGCGATGCTGATGGTGACGCTGCCGATGGTGATGATGATGATGATGATGATGGTGATGGCGATGGTGACGACTATGGTGAAGACGATGATGATCAAAAAAATTGAAATGATGATGATGATGACGATGAGGAGGAGGATGGTGCTGGTCATGGTGATGGTGATGGTGATGGTGATGGTGATGGTGATGGTGATGGTGATGGTGATGGTGGTGATGGTGATGGTGATGGTGATGTTGATGATCATGATTATGATCAGGACGGTGATGATTATGATGATAATGATGGTGATTGTGATGGTGATGATGATGATGGTGATAATGAAGATGATGATGATGGTGATGATGGTGATGATGACAATTGCGAAGATGGGATGGTAATGACGATAATGATGATAATGTTGACAATAATTGTGCTGGTCACGTTGATGGTGATGATGAAGATAATGACGATGACAATGCTGATGATGATGATGAGCGTGTTGGTGATAGTGACAACGATGACGATGATGATGGTGACGCTGCCCGAAGAAATGATGATAATGATGATGATGGTGATGATGACGATGAAGGTGATGATGATGAGGAGGATTGTGATGGTGATGGTGATGGTGATGATGATGACGATGAAGATGTCGATGACGATGATGATGATAATGATGATGATGATTATGATGATGATGCTGATGATGATAGTGATGGTGATGGTGATGGTGATGGTGATGGTGATGGTGATGGTGATAGTGATGGTGATGGTGATGGTGATGGCAGTAGTGTTGATGGTGGTGATGATGGTGGTGATGATGGTGGTGATGATGATGGTGATGATGATGACGATGATGACGATGATGACGATGATGACGACGGCTGGGGCCCGGGCGAAGCATCTCGCTGGCCTCCTCGACGGCCCCCCGCCGCACGCTCGCTGGCGCCGCCGACCACGCCACCAGGCCTGCCGCGGCGAGCGCGGCCACGACGGCGACCGCCACCGCGGCGCCCTTCCCGCCGCAGCCCGCCGCGGCGGGCCGCTCCGCGGGCGCCTCCGCGGCCTCCCCCGCGGCCTCCTCCGCGGCCTGCTCCGCGGCCTCCCCCGCGGCCTCCCCCACGGGCTCCTCCTGCGGGCGGGGCCGCGAGGGGGTGGCGAGGGGCTCTGCGCGTCGGGTCGCGCCCTGCTTGGCACAGAGACCATCCCAGTGCCGCAGCCAGCCAGCCCGCTCCCTCCCTCCCTTTTCCCCTCCCTCCCTCCCTCCCCTCCCTCCTTCCCCTTCCTCCCTCCCCTCCCCTCCCTTTTCCCCTCCCTCCCTCCCTCCCCTCCCTCCTGGCTCCCTCGTCCCCGATGGCGAATCCACGAGCTCCTGGGCGGGACGGGGGCCATCAGAACCCCCCTCGGCGATGAATGATTGACCGGGGGGTCGATGCGCCCCCCCCCCCGAGCCTACCCCCAGCGCTGCCCCGAAGGACACCCCCACACACCCCACAGCCCGAAGAAATCGAGGCGGAGGTGTTGTTCTTTCCTCGCTCTCGGCCTCTTGGGGCCTTCGGCGAGACCCGGGGCCGTGAAAGAGCGGCTCAGGATGTGAAACTAGCCCTGGGGGCTTCCGGGGACCACCCACACACACAAACACAAACACAAACACAAACACAAACACAAACACAAACACAAATACAAACACAAACACAAACACAAACACAAACACAAACACAAACACAAACACAAACACAAACACAAACACAAACACAAACACAAACACAACAAACAAACAAACAAACAAACAAACAAACAAACAAACAAACAAACAACCGTTCTTCGCTGTTAGGGACCAGCCCAGGGGCATCCAGAGGCGACCTCGGGAGGAAAGGCCCGACCCCTGGAGAAGGGGTCCAGATACTGCATCCCAGCACTGCGGGGTACAATCCGCAAGACCAGTGCATGGACGTGTGCCAACTTTGGTGGCGACGGAGAAGAATGGGACCCTGTTTCGCTGAGTTGCGCCGCCAGCGAAGATAGGATGGACTCGCACTCAAGGATCGGGGGATGCTTAAGGACCTGCTCGATGATAGGCAAGTATCAGATTGGGATGTCGAGCTCGTCGTAGATGCCTTCGACGTACTGCTTGTGGTCATGGGGACGCGTAGTGTGGTCCCTGACCACTGCGCAAAATGCGGATTTGATGTCCACCAGCGGAGCGAAGGCTGAGGGCTTCAGCCTCTTGCACATGTTGAAAAAGGCCTTCAAGGTATGAGTGGCCATAGATGTCCCTATCCTGGGTAGCCCGCCAAACTGGACAGCACGAAAAAGCTCCGAGTGAATCCAGATAACCACCGATCAAGTACCCTGTGACGTACCCAACCCATTTGTATCATGGGAAACGAGGACTTGGCTAAAACTTGCATGGACAATCAAATTGCGGGATCCGTTGTTTCATATGTAAGCTACTTGCGCCTATGGCATGATGCGCAGGGGAACCATACAAGAACGAGGGGCGACAACTACAGGCTCGAAGAGGACATGGGGGGTCGGGAACGAAGAGCAGGAGAAAGACGTGCGGGAAGCCCACTGTGCTGTGCCCCTCAGCAACCCTCGAAAGTGGCGACAGTTTCACAGATCGCAGCCCCCCAGGGATGGCGAGGTCTAATTTGAGTCTGCGGTGAGTACCCACTGTGCTGTGCCCCCCAGCAGCCCTCGAAAGTGGCGACAGTTTCACATATCGCAGCCCCCGAGGGACGGCAAGGTCTAATCTGAGTCTGCGGTGAGTACCCACTGTGTTGTGCCCCTCTGCAGCCCTCGAAAGTGGCGACAGCTTCACAGATCGCAGCCCCCCAGGGACGGCGATGTCCCGTTTGGGTCCGCGGTGAGTGCCCTCTCTGTTGTGCCCCTCAGCAGCCCTCGAAAGTGGCGACAGTTTCACAGATCGCGGCCCCCCAGGGGTGGCAAGGTCTAATCTGAGTCTGCGGTGAGTACCCACTGTGCTGTGCCCCTCAGCAGCCCTCGAGAGTGGCGACAGTTTCACATATCGCAGCCCCCCAGGGATGGCGAGGCCTAATTTGAGTCCGCGGTGAGTACCCACTGTGCTGTGCCCCTCAGCAGCCCTCGAAAGCGGCGACAGTTTCACAGATCGCAGCCCCCCAGGGATGGCGAGGTCTAATCTGAATCTGCGGTGAGTACCCACTGTGCTGTGCCCCCCCGCAGCCCTCGAAAGTGGCAACAGTTTCACAGATCGCAGCCCCCCAGGGATGGCGAGGTCTCGTTTGGGTCCGCGGTGGGTACCCTCTCTGCTGGCCTCCCCAGCAGCCCTCGAAAGCGGCAACAATTTGGCAGATCGCCGCCCCCCAGGGACGGCGATGTCCCGTTTGGGTCCGCGGTGAGCGCCCTCTCTGCTGGCCTCCCCAGCAGCCCTAGAAAGTGGCGACAGCTTCGCAGATCGCAGCCCCCCAGGGACGGCGAGGTCCCGTTTGGGTCCGCGGTGAGTACCCTCTCTGGTGGCCTCCCCAGCAGCCCTCGAAAGTGGCGACAGTTTCGCAGATCGCAGCCCCCCAGGGACGGCGAGGTCCCGTGTGGGTCCCGATGAGTACCCTCTTGCTGGCCTCCCCAGCCGACCCTCGCAAACGGCGGCGCCCTCAGAAGTGGCGACAGTTCGCAGAAAATCGCAGCCCCCCAGGGACGGCGAGGTCCCGTGTGGGTCCGCCGTGAGTACCCTCTCTGCTGGCCTCCCCAGCAGCCCTCGAAAGCGGCGACAATTTCGCAGATCGCAGCCCCCCAGGGACGGCGAGGTCACGTTTGGGTCCGCGGTGGGTACCCTCTCTGCTGGCCTCCGCAGCAGCCCTCGAAAGTGGCGACGGTTTCGCAGATCGCAGCCCCCCAGGGACGGCGAGGTCCCGTTTGGGTCCGCGGTGAGTACCCTCTCTACTGGCCTCCCCAGCAGCCCTCGAAAGTGGCGATAGTTTCGCAGATCGCAGCCCCTCAGGGACGGCGAGGTCCCGTTTGGGTCCGCGGTGAGTACCCACCGTAGCTGCCTCCCCCAAGCAGCCTTCGAACGTGGCGGCAGTTTCGCAGATCGCAGCCCCCCAGGGACGGCGAGGTCCCGTTTGGTTCCGCGGTGAGTACCCTCTCTGCTGGCCTCCCCAGCAGGCCTCGAAAGCGGCGACAGTTTTGCAGATCGCAGCCCCCCAGGGACGGCGAGGTCCCGTTTGGGTCCGCGGTGAGTACCCTCTCTGTTGGCCTCCCCAGCAGCCTTCGAAACTGGCGACAAGTTCTCAGATCGCAGCCCCCCAGGGACGGCGAGGTCCCGTTTGGGTCCGCGGTGAGTACCCTCTCTGCTGACCTCCCCAGCAGCCCTCGAAAGTGGCGACAGTTTCGCAGGTCGCAGCCCCCCAGGGACGGCGAGGTCCCGTTTGGGTCCGCGGTGAGTGCCCTCTCCGTTGGCCTCCCCAGCAGCCCTCGAACGTGGCGGCAGTTTCGCAGATCGCAGCCCCCCAGGGGCGGCGAGGTCCCGTTTGGGTCCGCGGTGAGTACCCCTTCTCTGCTGGCCTCCCAGCAGCCCTCGAAAGTGGCGACAGTTTCACAGATCGCAGCCCCCCAGGGACGGCGAGGTCCGTTTGGGTCCGCGGTGGGTACCCTCTCTGCTGGCCTCCCCAGCAGCCCTCGAAAGTGGCGACAGTTTCGCAGATCGCAGCCCCCCAGGGACGGCGAGGTCCCGTTTGGGTCCGCGGTGAGTACCCTCTCTGCTGGCCTCCCCAGCAGCCCTCGAAAGTGGCGGCAGTTTCGCAGATCGCAGCCCCCCAGGGACGGCGAGGTCCCGTTTGGGTCCGCCGTGAGTACCCTCTCTGCTGGCCTCCCCAGCAGCCCTCGAAAGTGGCGACAGTTTCACAGATCGCAGCCCCCAGCAGCCCTCGAAAGTGGCACAGGGATGACTAGGTAGGAGGCAGGCTGGCACGCAGCGACGAGCGAGGTAAAAGGCAGGGGGGAAGAGAGGGACGGGAAGGAAGGAAGGAGACGCGCGAGCAGTGCTCTATTCAAAACGAGAACCCAACGCAGGAGGGTTGGGAAATAAAGCTACAAGAATGTTTGCCCACCGTTCACTTGAGAAGAATGCTACGATGATGGACCAAGAGAGCAGCGCTGCCAACACCATTGTAGAGTGCTATGGCCTGGCCGCCCTTCATCTGGATAGGCCCCTGACCCTCCAGCGTCGCCTTCAGCAGTACCGGGAACCAATTGCGGGTCAGTTTCCATGGCGCGACCTTGTGCAGGCCGTCGGGCAGGGAGTCTGGACCTGTGGCGTTGCCCCCCTTGGAGGCCTTGACCTTGCGGACGAGGTCCAACAGTGACATGAAGCTGCGGTCGTCCATGTCCATGTCCTGTAGCGCGTGCGCGGCAGAAGTAATGTATTTTTCGACCATACTGCAAGCGTCCATCACAGTGACCAACTCGATCTTCGCGAAGTGCAACAGCGTCTCGTCGCCCAGATCGCTGTGGAAGGTGATGGCCGAGCCGTCAGCACGCTGCCGCACAGGGACAGCCTGGGCCCCTCCCGCCTTGTTGGGCATGCCGCCGAAGTTCAGCAGCCGCCTCGCGTCTTTCCACTCGAGATCTGAGCGGCCCAGCGCCGCCTGGAGTAGCATGTCGTCCGCGATAGCCTCGAGCTTGGACTCACGATCCTGGGCCACGGACGCCAAGCACCAGGATAGCGTTTGGTCGAGGAAGGTCGCGAGCGGGTTGACGAACGTGGCCCAGCACTGAGCCTCTTCGCCAACCCCAAGCCGTCGACGCGAGCGATGAGCCTCGCACGCCTCGCTGCGTGCTTCCTCCTCCTCCTCCTCCTCCTCATCCTCCTCCTCATCCTCCTCATCCTCCTCATCCTCCTCGGCAGCAGCAGCAGCATACCCCTCCTCATTATCCTCCTCCTCCTCCTCCTCCTCCTCCTCCTCCTCCTCCTCCTCCTCCTCCTCCTCCTTCTCCTACGAGGAAACACATCGACCGATGGCTTGGCCAAGAGGTGGCCCAACGTTTGGCCACATCGACATTTCCAGAGAGGCGGGGACGGCGATGAATCGCAGTGGGCGTCCTCGCGCACAACAACCACTCCAACAGATACACACTGAAACAGAACCACACCCGAGCCTAGAAATTCGCCGGCCCAACGGGCCAGGGCGTGCTAAGATCTCCGGTAACTGGTTAACAGTATTAACAGTATTTCTAGTTCGCGCGCGCGGGGCGGCCCCAGGGGGTCCCCCGGCGAAAAGTACCCCGACCAACCGCCGCCCGACCGCCGCCCGACCAAGTCTACTCAGAGATGGTTTTCCTTCTGGGTGCGGCCTCTCAGGCTCCCCAGAGCGCGCTCAGAGTGCCCCAAGAGGCCCCCAAGACTGCCCAAGAGGCCCCCGAGACGCCCAAAGAGCGCTCGAAGACGCCGAAGATGACCCCAAGACGGCCCAAAAGGCCCCCAAGACAGCCCAAGAGGCCTCCAAGACGCCCCAAGAGCCTTCCAAGAGGCCTCCGAAGAGAGCCCCAAGAGGCCAAAATCGTTGATTTTCATTGGTTTTTTTCTATGTTTTTTGTGTTCTGGCTTTTTCGGCTTCCGGACGCTCCAAGACGGCCCAAGAGGCCCCCAAGACCGCTCCAAGACGGCCCACGAAGCTCCCAAGACGGCGCCGAAACGACCCAAGAGAGCCCTCAAGACGGCCCAAGTGCCGCCCAAGACGGACCAAGAGGCCCCAAGACGGGCCCAAGAGGGACTCAGGAGGGATACCGAGAACTCAAAAATGGAGCCCTCCGTCCCAGAAGGCGCCCAGGAGGTCCCAAAGAGGCCCCAAGAGGCCTCCAAGAGGCCCCAAGATGTCGCCAAGAGGCCCCAGGAGACTCCCAGGAGGCCCAAAAGAAGCCCCAGAAGGCTTCAAACATGTCTCCCAGGCGCCCCCGAACGGCCTCTCAACAGACCCCAAGAGGCCCCCCAAAGAAGCATCTTGACGACGACTCTATTTCGCCCCATCGAGAGACGACCCCCAGGGAACTGCTTCACCATCAAAACTCCCCACGCAACGCGTCCGAACGACACCCGCCCCCAAGAGCGCAACATGGGCAACGAACACACAGACAAAAACCAGCGATGCCATATCACGGGCCGGCGGAATGAGCGAAGCGATTCAATAAAACACCACTAGGCTCAAAATATCCCTGTTATCTCCCTCCTCCACGGGAAGGGAAGAGGAGGAGGAGGAGGAGGAGGAGGAGGAGGAGGAGGGGGGAGGGGGAGGGGGGGGAGGGGAGGGGGACGAGGACGGGGAGGAGGGAAATGGGTCATGAGGAACAAAATGTGTCCTAGACCGGGTGGCCTTCCCCGAGGGCCAGTTTTTCACCCTGAGTTGTTTTCCGATGACCCCAGAGGCCCGTGGAGGGGCTCAGGGTGCCAGAAGCGGCGGAAAGCCTCATGGCCCGGTTCCCTCGGGACCCGTTTACCCCCACCGATGCACAGGCGACGACGACGACGACGACGACGACGACGACGACGACGACGACGACGACGACGACGAAGACGGCGGCGGCGGCGGCGGCGGCGGCGGCGGCGACGGCCCCGTGCCGTCCGCGTGCTCGTCTCCATCTGCGGCGGCGGTCAACAGCGGATCGGCGGGCTGCTCCGCCATCCCCCAGGGCGAGCCCGCGCGCCGAGGGGGGGGGGGCAGGGGGCAGAGAGGCGAGGGAGGAGGAGGGGAGAGGGGCGGGGAGGAGAGAGGAAGGGGCGGGAGGAGGGAGGAAGGAGGGGGAGGAGGAGGGAGGAGGGAGGGTGGAGAAGGGAGAGGAGAAGGGGGAGGAGAAGGGGGAGGAGGGAGGCGAGGGCGAGGACGAAGACAGAGGGGAGAAGGTGAGGAGGTCGGGAGCCGCGCGCGACGGAAGCGGCTGCACGGGAGAAGGTAAGTGGCAAGCGCTTTGCAAGCTCCACACCTCAGGGCGGCTCGGAGCAGCCCTGCAAGGCAACACGTTGCGACGAGGAAGCCCAGAGCCAGTTGGAAGGGCAACGCCCACGGGACGCCCGCGTGCATGGGACTCTTCAGTCCTTCCCAGACCCGTGCACACTCGGCTTGGCCAGGGGCGCAAGGGCCTTCGAGCATGCAAAAAGGAAAAGACAGCCTGGGCGCCGTGGTTGACGGCATGTGTTTTCATTAACGAGGCCACTTGTTCCCCGAGTCTAGTTGGAGTATCCCTGGAGAGCGGGGGGGACACGGTTGGACGGACACCATGAAGAGCAAGGTTCGGCCCTGAAGGCTGGTTGGTCAGCGCCGTAGCGTTCATAAGTGTTTGTCGTCGCTCGGCTAGAATGCAGTTTCAAAACCATGCCACGCCTGAGCGTCGATCGTAATATCTTTCCTTCGTGGTATTTCAAATGGCGACTCAAAATAGCACGAAGGAACACCGAGCCCTTCCGAGCCAAACAAATTCCTTACGTTTAAGCCGAGACTGCGTCCTCATCCTCCTCCGTCCACCCAATTCATGCAGGGGTAAACGACTTCTGCTGTCCCTCGAGCCGCGCTGGGACGTCCACGATGTGCTCCAGATGGTTCTGGGGACTTCTGCAACTTGCCTCGATTTTCCTGGATGCGTCTCGATTAATATGGCTTGGTATCCGCAGGTCGGCTACCGAGAGGTCGTCAAGCCCGTACGGGCCCATGTCTCCGCTCCGTGCCCTCTTCCATGAACCGTGGTTCTCCACCCGTGCCCACGGCCTCGCCGAGCCAGCCCCCTCCTCCCGCTGCTCCCCTCTTCTTGCTCCCCGCCCCCTCAACAGTCCCTGATCCCCGCCAACCGCTCCCTGCTCACTACATCCTGCACACCCTGCTCCCTGGCCACTCTCCTCTCTTCTCCTTGCCCAGAGGAAGACGTTGGGGGAAGCGCCTCGGGCAGAGGCGGGCGGAGGTGGGGGCCCCAAGTGGGGAGGTCTGGCAGACGAGCAGGTGCCCCTCCGTCCTGCGGCCTCCCTCCTCTCTCCGTCCATCCGTCCCACCGCCCTTCGGCTCTCTCGTCCGTCGTCACCCAGTCCTCCGTCCCCCCAATTGTGCTCCCATCTCCCCACTTCGTCCTCACATCCCGCCCACCACCCAGTCCCGCATACCCCCAATTGTGCTCCCCTCTCCCCACTTCGTCCTCACATCCCGCCCACCACCCAGTCCCACGTACCCCTCAGGCAGACAGGCACCCTCTGTCGGGCAGGAGCCCGGCCCAGCGCGGGAATGGGGTGGTAGGCACGGCGGTGCACCAGTACACTAGATTCTCCTCGCGAAGGCCTCTTCCAGACGACCCGCTCAACACACGCACAAACATTTGGCCCACAGGTCCTCCCCAACCTCTCAATCCTCCTGAAGGAGGCGGAGGCGGGGCAGGAGAGGGAGGAGCGTCAGCTCGACGGCAGGGGGGCTCTCGGTCAAACGACTCCAGTGGCAGACCGAAGCCACCCTCTCGAGAAGCGCTGACGAGCTGGCTTCCATTAGGTGGCCATGGCTGCCCCCACACGGAGGCTGCTTGCCGTCCGCTCGGAATCGTTTAATCCGCCCCGGCTCGCCCTCTCCGGCCAGGCGGCGCGCCCCTCGCCGGAGCGCAGCGAGGAGTGCGGTCACGCTGGGGACTCGGGCCGCCTTCGCCTCCTTGAGGCAGGCCAATCCCCAGGGCCCAGTGCAAGCGCTGTCCTTCAAGGACGCAGCCCTTGACCCAAGGACCTTGGGTCAAGGGCTGCGTCCGACTCCGCCTCCGCTGAGGGCGTTGCCGCTGCGGCCGCGCGCGTGCGCTACGGCACGTGTGCTCCGAGGGCGCCGGCTGCGTCGCACCTGCCACCTGCACCTAATGTGTTGCCTCCTGGGCGGCAAGCCTGCCGACAGCCTGCAGGGCGTCCTGCGCGTCCAAGCCCACCTGCCCTCTGCCGCAGCCCCGTGTGCGCTCTGCACGCACCCTGCGCGTCGCCAAGGTCCACCCGCTGCGGGCCTCGGGTGCGTCCAGGAGGGGGGCGTCCGAGCGGGAGGGTTCTCGAATCGTGGCCCGAGGCATGTGCACAGCCGACGAGGGGCCCTGGGACGTGCAGAAAGAAGAAGAGGGGGCCATGACATCTGCGAGACGGCATGGTCCTGGCCCTGACACCCAACCCCTCTCAGTCATCCCCCCCTCTGGGACGCGCACCACTTGGGGTGCCCGATACGGCGCGGTGACAGACGCAGGCCTCGGCTGGGGGGGTCCAGTCGGACAGGCCATGGCTGCGAGGCTCCAGTCGCCGTTGCTCGTCCTGGGCTCACCTCCCGTCACTGCTGCACTACTGCCCCTGCCCTTGTTCCAGGCTGCGACCGTTCCTCCCCGTCCACCTCATCTCCAACTCTCATGCCCAAACGCAAGGGCCCGACCGGCCCCCCCCGTCCGACCAGCTGTTTGTGCGATTACAGCGAGGCATATTTGATCGATGTCCTAGCGATTGGAACGCAATGAATCATCTGTTTACTCATCATGAATGTTCGTCGTCTTCGTTCTTCTTTACCTTCCCGTGCTTCTTTCTCTCCCGAAATATTTTTGCAACGCCTTTACAAAAGGATTCCTTATGTGGCGACCTTGCAAAAGGACTTCAAGTGTAGAAGATCTGCAGTGGCCTCCACAAATACAGCAATTTTGTAGCAGCCTGTACAAAAGGATCCCCTTGGTGGCAGCCTTACAACAATGTTTGAATTGTGGTGGATCTGCAGTGGCAGCACCTTGAGCCCAGGAAAGACAAGAAAAACAGGAACAAGCTTGTGTTCTCACATGGCAAGCAAAGCAAGAAAAAGCTAGGACAACGTGTGACTGTCGCTGCTTGTATAACGCAGATAATCTGCAAATAACATCCCATTGTAGTGGCCTTTACCCAAGGATTCTTTTTTGTGGCAGCCTTACAACAGTGTTTTAAATGTGGGGGATCTGCAGTGGCAGCACTTTGAGCACAGGAAACACAAGAAAAACAGGGATAAGCTTGTGTTCCCACATGAGAAAGCAAGAAACAGCTAGGATAACGTGTGACTGTCGCTTGTTTTTTCATGCAGGAAATCTGCAAATGAAATCCCAAAGTAGCGGCCTTTACAAAACGATGCCTTTTCATGGCAACCTTACCGAAGGATTACAACTGTGGGGGATCTGCAGTGGCCTCCACAAACACAATCCTTTTGTAGCAACCTGCACAAAAGGATCCCTTTTCCGGCAGCCTACAACAATGTTGCCAATGTGGGGGATCTGCAGTGGCGGCACCTTGAGCCCAGGAGAGCTAAAGAGGAAAACATCCACAACAAGAACAACAAGAAAATGAGTTTGCTTTTGACAAGGATAACCAGGAAGACGCCAGGCAAATCTGTGACGGCCGCTGCTTTTTTTTTCTATCGTGCACGTAATATACAATTAAAATCCGTGTGTAGCGGCCTTTACAAAAGGATTCCTTGCGTGGCAACCTTACAAAAAGGATTAAATATATAAAAGATATGCAGTGGCCTCAACACTTAGAATCCTGTCGTAGCAGCCTGTACACAGGGTTCCGTTTTATGGCGGCCCCACAACCATGTTTTATGTGCGGCGGGTCTTCAGTGGCGGCACCTGGAGCCCAGGAAAGCTAGAGAGGAACACGAAAAACAGGAAACCAAGCTGGCGTTTTCAACATGAAAAGCAGGAAACAGCTAGGAACACCTGTGACGGCCGCTGTGTTCATATCGCAGATGATCTACACTTAAAATCATAATGTAGCGGCCTTTGCAAAAGGATTCTTGTTTGGCGACCTCCCAAGCGGATTTAAAGTGTGGAGGATCTGCGGTGACCTCCACAATAAGAACTCTTGTATAGCATCTTGTACAAGAGGGATTCCTTGTGTGTCGGACTTACCAACAGGTTTAATTGTTGGGGTTGTCGGGGGTCTGCAGCGGCGGCACCTTGAACCCAGGAAAGCCAAAGAGGAAAACATGAAAAACAGGAACAACATGAAACCGTTTGTGTTTTCACGCGGAAGAAAGGACAACGCAAGGAAGACTTGTGATTGTCGCTGTTTCGACTGCGCAGGTGACCTGCAATTCAAATCCGAGCGTAGCGGCCTTTACAAAAGGATTCCTTGTGTGGCGACCTGACAAAAAGATCAAAATTGCGAAAGGTCTGCGGTGGCTTCCACACGTGAAAACATGGTGTGGCAACCTGCACAAAGAGATGCAAACGATTGTCACCCGAGATTCAAGGATTCAGGCGATGGTAAAGGGATTTACGGATTGAATTTGGTTGTTCAGCTTTTCAGAACGATTTCGCTTGTGGAGATTGACAAATTGAATCTGAATGGGTGTCCAAGTGATTTCAAGTGTGATGTTTGCTTTACACACGAATTCGATTGTGGCGCTTTTCTATCTGATTTTGGCTGTGGGAAATCGTAGTGGCGGCGCCGTGGGGCCGCGGAAGCTTACGAGGAAAACAGGGAAACCAGGAAAAAAAACAAAACAACTTCTTTCACATGGGAACATAGGAAAAGCCAAGGAACACCTGTGACTGTTGCCATTCTCATGGCACAACAACCGAACACGCTGACAGTCACCGGCTGTCCTGAAAACGCTGACAGTCACAGGTGTTCCTTGGTCTTCCCATTTTCCCATGTGGCAACACAATGCGTTTCATGTGT